TCCTCCTTCTGTTGCCTCACGTTTAGGAGGTGGGAGAAGTGTTTCTTTGAGCGGTGCCTCCCTGCAAATTGCGTAAGGAAGCGATGGGCAAGTTCTTGCCAAGAATCAATGCTGCCTTCGGGCAACCGGTTGAACCACTCATACGCCGGTCCCTCCAAGGTGGAAAGGAACCAACGGCATAAGTATTCATCCGATGCCCCCATCATCATCATGCTGTTTTGGTAACGGCTATAGTGCTCTTGGGGATCCGTCTTCCCCTCATATGGCTTGATGGGTTGCCCCCGATATTTGTGGGGGATTTTGGCCGCCAACGCCCTTGGGGTGAAGGGTGTTCTAGTGCGGAGTTGAATGAGGGGCTCGCCTGAGCCTTCGGCGAGCTTACGCTTCATTTCCTCCACTTGCGCCCGGAGGTCAGCGTACTCCGGATCCGGCCTCGCTGTGGAAGCCGTCGGGGGTGCCTGACGATTCTCCTCGAGTTGACGGAGGAGGGCTTCGATGATTTCGTCCTTGGGATCCTTCGGGGCAACCCCTTGGGAGTTGGCCCGGAAGGATTGCGCCTGATTGATCTGGTGCCTGGCGTCATCGGCATGGAGGAGGGCTTTGCCTTTGCTTCGTGGGGGAGGTATGCCCTCGGCGCCCGAAGCAGAGGCTCCACTCTCCTGGGGCCTGCTGAATGCTTGTTTCCCGAGGCGGTCTTGGACCCCTCGGTGCCCGGGAGCTCCCCCAAGCCTCTCAAGTGCAGAGGTTCGGGGTTTCTCTTTCATCATGGGGCGCTTGTCCCTGGATTGGGCCTCTTGGGAGGCGGTCTCCTGCGCTATGACCCCCTCGGCATTTCCAATCCCCGGGGGAGGATCGTTGAACAGAGGGGGGAGTGGTGGCAGTTGAATAACATTTCCTCCAGCGTAAGGCTGAAGGGGAGCCTGAGAGACGAGGGCCCCGGAATTGAGAGCCATGTTCTGAACAAAGGCCGCAAAGGCTGCCTGAAGATCGATGGCCGGGGCCGGAGGGGGAACTTGGTTCTCACTCCGATCCCTCCTTCGATTATCAAGGCCAATGCGGGCGTCAGGGGCGTTCTTTTGCAGCTGCTGACGGAGGTCAGCGGTAGCCTGTTCCAATTCAAGGATGATACCACCCTCGGGTACCAAGAGCCTGTTGGAGGCCTCAGCCCCGTTGGTTTCGCCGGGGGCTGCGTGGTTTTCCTCTAGGGTTTTGGATTGGGCACGAGTGGTTCTTCCCATTTTTGGTAGGTATTCTGTATTTGGTAGAGGGGGAGGGTTTCTTACTTGATAGTTCAGACCTCTCAACGAGAGCACCAAATGATGGATGGTCTACCCGGGGGGTATCTTATCCGAGGGGTTATTGCGGGAATAACTAGAGAGAAGTCAGAGCAAAATAGGAGGAGAGAGAGTCGATTTATTAAATGAACTCAGCGTGTGGAGTTGAGATGTAGATCATGTCCATTACAAGGAGAAATGGGCTGCTATTTATAGCAGCAATAAATGCGATGAGAGTACACGTGTCAGTAATCCAACGGCCTGAGGGTCACATCAGCCTGGTGGCACCGGCAGTGGTACGTTCACCGCATTGAATGCGGTTGGCGGATGTGACGTGGCATTAAATGCGGTGGTTGGCTGTCCCCAAAAGGAATCTTCGATGATTGAGCATGCTTGGTCGAAGGCTTCTTGTGTAGCCGAGGGATCCGTGTAACCAAGGACCCCTGTGTAGCCGAAGGCCCCGAGTGGCAGAGGGCTAAGTTCAGCCGAAGGCTCCCCTGATGCCGAGGGCTTGGTAATGCCGAAGGCTCATGTTTTTCGCCGTTTTCTCCCAGTGGCTTCGTATGTCAGAGAGGGCTACTTTGTGAGTTTCTGGAGACTTCTGCCAAGGAGGCCTAAGGCACCCCAGTATGTATTTCGGGCTATTTTGGGGCTTGGGCCGTTGCTTTTGGGCCTGAGTTGTTCTCTGGGCTCATTGGATATGTGTAGCAGAAGTAGGAGTCTATGGGCCGGGGGTTCTCGGGCCATATACTCCATCAACATACAACTAGAAGTTTTTAGAGACTTTTTAAACAGTACAAAAGTTAAAATGTACGGACTTGTGCCTACCAAACATGCACACAGACTGTGTGTCACCTTTTAACTTATTTATTTATTTATTTATTTTATTTTTATCCTTAATAAATACGGAGTACTATGTATTTAATTTGACACAAAATCAGAAATTAAATTTAAGTGTTTAATTTAGAAGTAATTTCATGTTTATGACTAAAATAAATGCAGTGAACAAAAATGTGACTTCTTAAGTGTAGTGACTATTAGTACTAATTCCCTCCAATTTTATGTGTCTTGTGCGGTATGGCGCAATTGTTAATAAAATGGTTGAAAAGTAAAAGTTGTGGTTCAGGTTTCAGTATAATAAAGTGAAATATTGTGGACCACATATTTCTTTATAAAAAGAAAATGTGCATTTATCTTGGGACAAACGAAAAAAAAAATATACTGGTAGAATGGAATGAAGAGAAAACTGTTAGCGGCTCTTTTAACGTTCAATTTTACATCTAAATGGACAAGAAGTTATGATCATAGTAGGGAATCATAGAGCCCGTTTGGTAGCACCAAAATCGGCTGTTTTGGCTGATTCTGCTGAAATTTATGATATTCTGGCTGGAGTGGCTGTTTTGGCTGATTCTGCTGATTTAAGAAAAAAATATTTTAAAAATATATTTTATTAATAAATTAAAGAAAAAATTATATGTAAAAATAGCTAAAATGGTCCTCTACAGTAACTTCAGCCAATACAGCCAGAAAAGTAACTCCAACCTTACTTTTTCGGCTTATTACACAATTCAACGCGCGAAAGTAAAAGTTACGTGTTTGGTGAAAAAGCTGGCTGATAAGTCGAAAACAGAGTTCTCCAAACGGGCTCATAGTAATTGTAGTTATTGATATCACGCTCAAATCGGTAGTAATATTTAGAGAGAAGGGAAAATTGAGAGGAGAGAGAGAAAGATATCTGATTTATTAATGATTCTTGAACAGTTTACAATATAAAAAATGTTAAATGCATCAAATGCACGCACACGTGTAAGATAGACGGGAGAGCCTTACTCTATGACACAATATGAAACATGGAGGCAGCTATCAGTCCGTGTGGCTGTCGAGGGGTTGGGAGCCCACGTTCTCGCTGGTGACTCTTTGCCCAGTGATTAATCTTGTTTGGTCTGGGGTTTTTGTGCCGAACAAGGTGCTAGAGGCCAAGGGGGCCTAAAAGATAAAGTGAAGATATTTTCCATTTGTTTTCTAGGGATGTTTTTACTGGTTTGAAATTTGCTAATTGATCTGATTTGTTTGACTCTGGTCTGATATGAATTTATCTAGCACATGTGTGGTCTCGATGTATTTTATAACTATAGAAGTCTGATCTAGTCTGATATGTTTAAGTTTAATCTGATTTGACCGAAAACACTTCAAATTTCCCACATACGTAGCGGGTGCTTATGCTGTGGACTTCATCAGGGGCGAGTCTGGCTCTAGGCCAGGGAGGGCTAGGCCCAACCTAAAAAAAATTACTAGTATATATACTCCCCCCGTCCCGTTGGGATGTTCTCACTTTCCCTTTTTAGATGTCCCAAAAAGAAGTTCTCATTTCCCTAATTAGAAAGTTATCCTACATAAAATAGTGTCAAACAGTGCAAAACAGTGTCAAACAGTGTCAAAACAGTAAAATTTACCCTCTAGTAAGTTTATTTTCTTAATACGTGTGTAGGTCAAACCGGAAACATCCCAACGGGACAGAGGGAGTATATGTGCAATACTATATGTAGTGTTGTTCAATAATGTTATAATTACAAATATAATCAATTTGTAAACAAGTTCAGTGTTAGCAAGATTGAAATGGATCGCTCCGATGACCTATGTGTCCCTAGTTCAGCCTTTTCTTTAACTTTTCAATGGTAGAGCATAGTGTGTAAAAATTTAGTTGTTTGTTTTTTGTCTAGCTGCGCTAAATCTTCTAAAAAAAATTGTCTCGCACTACAATAATTAAAAAAAAAAATCTTTCTTCAAACATATATATTTAAACTTGGTCGTCTAAGTTTAATCACTACAAGTTTAACACCAACTCAAATGGTGAATGGGCTGAATATTAATATTGTGAACGCTCTTGGACTTTTAAATATTAATTAGCTGGAAAAAATAATTTGTTTAATTTATTGGGTTAGGCAGGTGAAAATTGCATGGTTCAATATGTATGCATTTGAGGTGTTTTTTCATTAGACAAAAATTCTTATTCCTACTATATTTATTTTTGTCTTTAACATTTATGTTGTGAAAGATTTTATTTTATATTTGAAAATAAATTTTGTTAAATAACATACTACGTAGTATTTTGGTATGTTTTGAATTTTTTTGAAATATAAGTTAATCAAATTTTGGCCCCACCTAATTGCCAATGCTCGATCCACCCCTAGACTTCATGTAGTCATGGACCCGGGCCGGGCCTGGCCAGGCTTTTTTTTTTTTGGGAAGGCCCGGGACCGACCCGGGTAGCCACCGGATCCGGTCCGGGTCCGGGTCCGGGCCGGGCCTCCGGTTCGGTCATAATTTTTTTTTTTTTGCTTTCCTAACCCCCCCACTCACCCCCCACCCCCCCAAACCCCCAAACCCCTCCTAACCATCAAGCCCAACCCGGCTAACCCCAAAAAATGAAAAAAAAAAAAAAATCAATTCGGCCCGGGCCCGGGCCCGACCCGGCCGGTTCGCCAAATACAAGGCCCGAGCCCGGACCCCCCCCCCCCCCACCAGGCCTAGGCCCGATCCGGACCCGGACCCGGACCCGAGAACCGGGCCGGTTCCGGGCCCGCACAGTGGCGGGCCGGGCCGGTCCCGGGCCGGGCGGCCCGAACCGGGTCCATGCCTGACTTCATGGCACGATTTCTATCCATTTTCATATTGATTATAAGAAAAAAAATTATAATTTTTTTTAACTGAGTGTCCACGACTTCACGTATCTGCATTTTCTTTTATCATATACGATAGTACTTGAATACACACGCACGCCTGTTAGGCACCCAGGAAAAATACACACAACTATATCACAAGGACATATCACTACCCCACAATTGCATGAACATATCACTAACAACTGCTACACTTGGTTCAAACTAGTCTTTGTTTTGCTTGAAGTGCAATCAGAACATTATCTATGCATTTACTACAGGAAAAACAAATCTCAAGAGCAAACCGTTAGAGCAAGAAAATAATGTATTCAAAATTCCATTTAAGAAGCCCTTTTAAAGAATGACAGAATGTTTCCTTGTTTACGGTCTTTGTTTCCTCCCTTCTTGTTTCCTGCTTTGACAGCTTGGTTTAATGGAGCAATGCTTTCAGTTACATGTGACCTCTTAGCTGCTGTTGGTCTGAGACAACAATGGCACATGTTAACAAAATGTGTTGTACACTGGAACATGATGAATTGATAAATATAATACTCCCTAGAAGAAAAAGGATTCAAGATTGACTCTTTGAAAAGGAAGAGAGGGTTTAAGAAAATTTAGGTATAATACTACTTTCTTTGCAAGATGTTAGGAAATTTGACAAGTTTCGAAATCAATGTGCTAAAGCCTAAATGACTTCATACTCTTAACTTCATGCAAATAAAAAGCAAAGTGAAACACCAAGTATTATTTTGTGTAACTAATGGCTATAGGTTCCATGATTTTCTAAGCATTTATTCTGGTTTTCATTGCTATCCACAAAATAAACTTTTAAAATTTGAACAGTGGAACCACTACTAGGTAAGCACAACATAGACGTGCCTGAAAATCCGTCCAGTAGAGCTTAAACTGTTTTTGATAATTCAATATAGCTAAAGCAGATCTAATTGTTCAAAGTATCCTTATTGGCTTCTTGCATGCATATCCATTTAACAGAGCTAAATCTGCTTTGAAAGAAGTCGTTTCTGCTCAAGCAGATCTTTAAGATAAGCTCAAAGACGGATTATAGTGCTTAAAGTAAAAATTATATAAAGTAACAATAACAACAAGACAAAGTGTGTTTGACACTACTAGATGAAAATGTTGATAAAAATTAAAATGATAGATGAAGGATGAAGATGAAATGAGGATAAAAAGATATAAAGTTCAAGATGGAAGGAACAGATATGTTAGATAAAATGAGATCAAAGTATGAAACAATAAACGAAAGATGTGCAGTAAACCAAAAGTGTATCATACTCCTAAAAGAAAAATTATTATTGGAGTTCAACCAAAGTAAAAGGACATAGATGGAATGAGAAAATGAAATACAGTAGATTAAATGAAATGCTATTACAATTTACAAGTTTTTTTCATTTAAGCTGCTCTTCATTTTCATCTACCCAACAAACAAATATATTTTGCTACTTTGTGATGATGTGAAACATACAATAAGGTGTGTATTCTGTGGTAGCTGCTTTCCAAATGAAATTAGCCACCGAGTAGGACGTAATTTCCCCCGAATATTTTTGCAGCAAGAGCAGAAAATAATACATAGTTACCTGTCAACAGCATTATTGGCTACTTTATTTTCAGTTTTCATTGCAAGACTACCATCAGGTTTTGTCTCCTCACCTTCCCAAATAACCTCTGTAACTGGAAGTACAAGAAATAAGTGAATATGATGAGATGCTATAAAATACTCTGTAGTATCACTCAGAATTCAGAGATTAAACTTATTCAGTTCTAGCTTCTATAACAATTTTTTGTCTTACAACAGAAGGAATTTTCAAACAGAAAAAACAATCCCATAGTCTTCCATAGATGTGTTCATGTCTTATGAAACTATCACTCAGAGAGACAAGAAGAAAAGCAATACCTTTTACGTAAACATAATACTTTTCAAAGCAGTTTTGGAAACATATACTAAAGTCGTGTTTAGTTAAGGTCTAACTTTTAAATTTTGCCAAAGAATATTTTAAACATATATTTGATGATTAAATTTACCACATTGAACTTGTTTACCATTATTAATGTAAAATAAGGTTTTATTCAATAGAAAAGCAGTTGTAAAATAAGGTTTTATTCAAAATAAGGAGAGATTTATAAAACTTCCTTTCCTTGTTTGTTGGAGAAGCGGTTGTTTTTGTGTACTCTACCCCTTTATTTCTCTTATTGGTTTAAAATGAAACAATTGTTTGGGCCAGTAACAATTGTAACAAATCAAATAAGAAGAGTAGCTTATATCCTAGATTTTTTTTGGATATTTTTGGGGGAAAACAGATCCTTTGGTAAATACTTTCTTAACATATGCCCAACTTCTAAACATATGCCCAATTTCTAAACACAAGATATGAAAAGTAGCCTCTTCATGCTTACTATAACTAGTTCATCATCATCATTACCCCAACGCCTCAAAGGCTCCCACTTTCGGTGGGGTAAAGGGGGGTCGGATGTACGCAATTTTACCCTTGTACTAAAGCACAGAGAGACTGTTTCCGGATGACCCATAATGAAAATCCCGTCAAAATTGCATGCACTGACTGCTGCTTCATAACAAAGAAGCGCAAACAGTTTAGTGAGACATTTTTCTTTATTACATCATATTCCCAAGCCAAAAAATAGTGAGTCTTTGGCTCCATGCAAAATGCAAATGAAGGAAATGCTTACTATAACTAGTTATTTTGGTTTTTTTGTGGCAGCTTTCACTCAAACCTCAGCTGTTTTTATTGGTTCGAACAAGATATGAATTACTTAAAACTGAAATAAAGATTAAAGAAACTATTCCTTAAAAGAAAATCCGGTAGGGGTTTCTTTTTACGTTTATCCTAGAGTTACTTTAAATTACTTCTTGCGCTAATTAGAAATTGCTTTTAATAAAACATTGGTCATTGAGATTAATGTCAATATCGATTCATATGTTGGTATATAAGTTGTTCCTATATGTTGGTATAGGAAGGGCCCTATTGGTTCATATTACCCTTTTTCACCTTTAAAACAAAAATTAAATGACATAAGTTTTTACATTGGGGCTCATATTAGGTGCAATTCCTATTATTTGGGTTGGTTTATTAGTCCTTTTGGTATTCTACGTGCATTCTGACATGAACCAATAGGGACCTTCCTAAGCGAACTAATTATCCATTCATGGCAAATTACATGAAAATCATCTTTGTTTGAAAAATATAAAACTCATCTCTGGGATATTAACAAATCCTTTCAAAGGAAACTCTTCAAGTCTTTATGGGACGATGGAGGGAGTACTTTTGAATTTAAAAGTTAAAATAATACTTTTCTTAAGCAGTTTTGATATTACAAAATGTCTTACCTTCTCTTCCACGTTCATCTATTTTGGTCTTCAATACTTTCTTCCTTTGGGGTGATTTTGGGGCAACATCAGTCAACTTTGCCCTCACATTTGCATCATTACTATGACCGTGGTCTGAGATGCCCGTCACATTCGCATCATTGCTAAGACTCTTGGATTCCTTAGCTGACGATTCTCCCTTAAATTGCTTATTCATTTTCTCATCTCCTTTGAAACATAACATCTTCTCCACCTCAGGAGTGTTTGAACTCGACTTCAACCCTGGAGGATCAGGTGATGATAGGTTGACTGCATCTTCCCCTTCTTCATCTGAGGAATCATATATAACTCTCCTCTTCCTGTTTCCTCTACTATTAGATCGCTTAATTGTGACATCTTGACGATCATCAAAGCAGTTTGCATCTTCAAACTCTTTACTAGTACATACTTGAGTTTCTGCACTCCCAAAAAAGTTTGTTATGAAAATATGAATAGTAAAATCATGGTAAGCAACCAATGCACATTTCACCCCAAAAAATACAAGGGCATGAAAACAGAGAAGAAAATTGCAAAGAAAGATAAGCTGGGAGGAAATAAAAACATGATCAAAGCTCAATAAAATTATTTTTTATCAAAACCAATTTATATATATTTATTTAAATCTATTATATAAAGACTAAAAAGGAGGGAAACCAGCTGAAATGGGTATGGCCTTGTTAGTCTCGGTTGGAATGCAGCCTGTCTTTAACTTTGTGGTTGCACGACCCCACATATCAGCTAATACGCCTCCATTCAAAGCAGAGGTTTTGTCAGTCCTAATATTTTTCTTATTTTCCAGAGGTTGGGCGACCTTCTCTTTATCTATATCGATATTACTGCCTCCTTCCACTGCCACTTCATTCTTTACATAATTAGCCATAGCCATATCAGCACTCGGCTCTGCATGTTGAACCTTTTTCGATTGAGGTGGCTGAAAAGTCACACTTTGGCTAGTGAGTTTACAGTTAGATGCCATTATTGCCCCTGAATTTTTTGCCTGAGGGTCACCAGTGCTAGCAGACTTTCTGTCAGCATTCTGCTTAATAAACGGATTCAAAACTCCGCAAAACCTGAAGGCATCAATCAGCATAAAGCTAGTAAGAAGCTTTAAGGATGTTAAGAAGACAGGATACTGAATTACAGATGAGATGAAACTATGAAAGTTAAAGGCATTTGCATTTCTTTGCAGAACTTGGCATCTAAGATTATTGGTCATAATGTTAGTGATTCAGCATGAGCAAGTAAGGTGCCACTTAGACGTTTTTTTCTTTCTGTTTTTATCTTCACCTTTCTGGAAAAAAAAAGGTAAAATGAGTTTGACAGTAGTATTTTTTTAATAGATTTTGAAGAAGAAAAAATCAGAATCTTAAAAAAATATTGGGAACTTGATTCTGAGTTTAACACTATTTATACCTATACATGAAAATCATGTACTCCCATTATAACTAACAAAATGGCATACAAACTAGATCTGCTTAGACACGTTTATACTTTAGAAACTTGACATCAAAAGAAAATTAAATTATTTAAAACAAAATATAAAACATGTTATACATGTTATACAAAAGATACAAATCGAACCCCAAATGTTTAGACCTGTTATCCCATAAACAATTATCAACTGATGGTGACTGCTTAAATAGCTCCTCAGCTTGGACAAATTCAGCATTCCAAAGGGTTGCTGCATCCTTTGGGATGCAAGCTTGCACACTATAGACCTGAACCGAGCAATTTTCATTGAACTCTTGTTTCGCTTCTGCATGAAAACAAGCAAGTTTTCAATGGAATACACACGACTACAGCTTAAATACTATGGAGCAGTAAAAGATTTTGTCATTACAATCAAGAAGAATAAATTATTGATCCACATGATCAAGAAGAAGATTTTTTCTTTTCCTTTTGACTGTTTTTTGTTTCTGTAATGCATGAACAAAGAGTAAAAGACCTAAAAGTCACAATCAGAAAGAATAATAAAAAACCTGCAATTTTAGAACTTGAGACAAGCTGCACGTGATATGCTGAAGGATTATTCTTCAACCAGCCAGACAAACTATAAACAACTTCTACATCGTTTATATGCTTCTCAACAAACTCCTCAAGCAATCTATAAAGCAAAAGGCAAGAGAAGGAGAAAATAAATTTATTATATCCCTTCCAAAGCAATACATCATAGATACTCTCACCCTCACCTCTTTGCCGCATCCGAAGACACCAAGTAATTTTGGCTCAACCATTTGTATGACACCTATACAGAGACCTCAGTTGGAATTAAACAAATAAATCATGTTTCTTTCCCAAGAAAATAGGAAACTTTAAGCACATAATAATGCAATTCGGACCATTACAATAAGGAAATAATTACAAATTTATGACTAAAATAAAGGGTGTTTACAAAAAAGTCTAGTAACTATAGTAGTAACTTTAGTCATGGTAAGTTATGTTCAATTTTTACACTTAAGTAACCAGAACATTATACTAAAAGTAACTTTAGTACAGGGGTAAGACTGCGTACATCCGACCCCCTTACCCCACCAAAGGTGGGAGCCTTTGTGGCACTGGGGTAATGATGACGATGATGATTACTTTTGAAAAAACCTCTACAATAAGATCTGAACATAATAATTTCACTAATTTCTAGAAACAATAGTAATGATGTTTTATTTTGGACTTCTTTCAGTCCCAGACCAAACCAGATTAGACCAGACTTAAATAGAACAGACCAGACCAGACTTGGGCAGTTATAAAATACACAAAGAACGGACATTTACCAAACCAGACCAGCAATTTTCAGTCCAAAAGGAAACATCCTAAGATCCCAAAAATTGTAAAAAGTTGTCAGAGAAATGAATAAACATGATCATGCTTCACCCAAAAACTAAATTTTCATGTAGTTTTCAGTGAGCCTCAATAAAATAGGACATATTCAAATCAGCAAAAAAGTAAACCAAAAAAAGATCAATACATATGCTTGCTGATTTATGATAGTTGTTACTAACCGAAATTTTAAAAATGTAAATTGACTGAAATCCCAGGATGAGGCGACACCCGAGTTAGTTGAAGTAATCAAAATTTCAAGAATGAGTTTGCGATTTCATACTTCTAATCTTACAGAGACTAAACAGATAACTGATTGTGTGCATATGAGATAAGTCAACATAGTAATGGAACATGTAACATTATGAATGCAGAATGAGACATATGAGTATTATATATGTAGAGAGAGAGAGCTACCACTTGAAGTTTAATGGAAACAAGGGACTGGATCTCGTCGAGAATGCCTAGAGTTTCAATTTCCGCCATTTACGTGTCCGCCGGAGTGGGTTGGGTCCTAACGACGCGAGAAGCGATGGCCGATTGCCGTAACACCCGTTAGGGATGCTGGATTTCCCGCCTTATCGGAGCTTTGTTGGTTTTTTATTAGCGGTAATTGCCTCAAAGGGCAACCTGCATTCACTCACCAGATAATTATTTGAGAGGTTACTACTTACTAGGTGAAAATCGTTTATAAGTAATATATGAATAAAATACACAGTTATTATCAAACACAAAGTTTTTGTATGGACAATAAATTAAATTTAATGTAAAACACATGAAAGACAGATTTTTGTAATGTAAGAGACTGGCTAGATGAATTTAACTTAATATCTGTTGGGTGTGTTTCGGAAAATAAAGAAAATTAATCAAAATAAATTAATTAAAATGACTAGAGAAAAATAAGAAAGGAGATGAAGCAGAATCAGTCAAAGCTCGTGCTACGCACGATGTCCTTAAAACGTATTTGTTGCCTCCCACGGTGCTAGGAGCGTTGCAACAATAGTTTCCCAGGATACGATGACTACGAACTAATGTTTGAGCACACAAACAAGAGTTCCAACGTACGTGAACAAAGACTGAACATTCAAGAATTTTTCAGAGAGACTGGAGGTGTTTTTAGCTGAAGAAATACGTGAGCTTGTGTAAGCAAGAACGTGTATAAAATGTGTGTTGTTGCAAACCACCTGCCAGCCATTATATAGGAGGATTTGTTGTGTGTAAATGGTGAATTAATGGACCTGAACGTTAGACATCAATGACCAGTCCGTTGGGCATTGAATAGTCCATGAACTGTCCATTTAACGCTGCATTAAAAGATAAGAACGTTGGGCATTTATTCCTGTAACGGTTCAGAACCGCGACCAGAAGACCTCCCAACAGAACACCTTACGAGGTGTTCTGTCCGAAGCCAGCAGAACCCCTACGAGGGCTTCTGCCCGGAGCCACCAGAACACCATACCGAGGTGTTCTGGTCGAGGGTTTCTGTCCGGAGCGTCTCTGCAGCTAGGCACTTGGAAAAAATAAACGTTTCGGGAAGAAAACAAAAATTAACCGGAGCGCACGCAAGTCGCGGTTTTTCTTCTCCGATTTCGGGATTTGATTTGCACCCCCCTGCGCGCGTGGAGAGAGTCTTTACCCTTAGGAATCTTAACTCCATAAGGGGGGAGTCCCTTTATAAAGGGTTGCAAATCCCTTGGGTTTTCCGGTGTGGGAAATTAACACACTAGAAACTCATCCTTTTTCCCAGTTTTCCATTCTAACGGGTAAACTTCGAAAAGCGAGTTCTCATTCACCCGTTATCCGTTTTGAGCGTACCATATATCGAATTGTAGCTCTTAACAAGGACAATCTGAAACCACTTTCACCCGACCCAAATCGGAAGTGGACCCCACTCAAAAAATTGCCCCAAAATTACCATTTAATGCAATTTCAACACATTTTTCCAACAATCCCCCACATGAATGAAAATTGATTTTCGAGACTTAAAAAAAGACACGAAGATAGGAGGACACATTGTGTTCACCGGATGATCCTTGCATACGGAGAGGTAGGTTTAATCCTTTGAACCTTCCGCCGTAAAGACACGTTTATTTACTGGCTGTCTAGTAGACTCGATGTCCTTAAACTATACTGCCGTTGTGTAAACATTGACTTATCTTTACACAAGAACCTTCCAACTTTGTTCCGTTCTCATGGGTCTGCCCGTTTTGGCCATGGGTCACCGTCCTTGTTCTGCAAGAGTTTCTAAAGAACTGAGCCATTACAGTTCTCCTTTGAAGCGGCCCTCTTCTCTCTCACATAGGTGATTCTTTCACGAGTATCCCGCATCCAAATTTTATTTAGAGAATTCTTATTTTATAATACACATAGAACTCAGTCATTTTTTTTATTTGGATTATGCTTTTAAATCTATTCCTTAATTCATTATTAAAATCTTCTTATTATATTATTTTTATATTATTTTAGAAAAATCTAAATTAAGAGTTAGAAGATGTTTTCTTTGGATTTTTTACTCTTCCAATGTTATCGAGTAGATCAACATTTTAGAATCATTAAAGCAAACGTTTTTGCTAACCTCGTGCGGGAGTCACTGTTTCAACGAGGAGTGGGTAGGAGTCCGGGACCCCCACAGTGACCATCCTTCGCTCTATAATTTAGTTGTCCCATTTGAACCTAGGACCAACTAGGTTGGGTATCCACTATAGAACTTTTCAACTCACGGGCTTTAGTCCCATTCCTCGTGACTTCTCCAACAATTCTCTATCCAATGCCTTGGTTAGCGGATCCGCTATGTTATCCTTTGACTTAACGTAGTCAACAGTGATAACACCCGTTGTGAGAAGTTATTTAATGGTGTTATGTCTACGACGAACGTGTCTAGACTTACCATTATAGAGATTGCTCTGTGCCCTTCCAATTGCCGCTTGACAATCGCAATGTATGCATATTGGAGGGACATGCTTCTCCCAACTTGGAATATCCTCAAGAATATTCAGTACACTTATCCAAGGCTATTAGCTCAGATTCCATTGTGGATCTAGCTATTAACGATTGTTTCGAGGATTTCCACGACACGACTGCACCTCCCAAAGTGAAAACATATCCACTTGTGGACTTTGAGTCCTTAATGTCAGATATCCAACTAGCGTCGCTATACCCTTCAAGTACAGCTGGATATCTTCCATAGTGCAGTCCAAGGTTTTGGGTTTTCCGTAAATACCTCAAAACCCTTACTATTGCCTTCCAGTGTTCATCACCGGGATTGCTAGTATATCTAATAAGCTTGCTAACCACAAAGGCAATATCAGGCCTGGTACAACTCATTAGATACATTAAACTGCCAATAATCCTAGCGTATTCTACTTGAGAAATACACTCTCCACGGTTTTTGGTCAGGTGTACGTTTTTATCTAATGGCGTCCTTGCCTCTTGATAATCATCCTTATTAAATTTATTAAGGATTTTATCAACGTAATGGGATTGGCTTAGCGTCAGGCCGTCAGGTCCTCTAATTATTTTAATCCCAAGGATTAAATCGGCCAGCCCCATATCCTTCATGTCAAATTTAGAATTTAACATGTTTTTGGTAGAATTAATCATTAGATTATTGCTACCCACGATGAGTATATCATCCACGTATAAACATAAAATGACATAGCCGTCTACCGTGCTTTTCACATAGACGCATTTGTCACTTTCGTTTATTTTAAACCCATTAATTAACATTGCATGATTGAACTTTTCGTGCCACTGTTTAGGGGCTTGTTTCAATCCGTACAATGATTTAATTAATTTACAAACCTTCTTTTCTTGGCCTGGAACACGAAAACCCTCAGGTTTTTCCATATAGATTTCTTCGTCAATATCGCCGTTTAGAAAAGCGGTTTTTACGTCCATTTGATGAACTTCCAAATTCCGCAAAGCGGCAATTGCTAGTATCATCCTAATGGAATTTATTCTCGTCACAGGAGAATACGTGTCAAAGTAATCATGGCCTTCACGTTGCTTGTATCCCTTTATTACAAGTGTGGCCTTATACTTATCAATGGAACCGTCCGGTTTCATTTTACATTTAAAAATCCACTTGGATCCCAAAGGTTTACATCCCGGAGGGAGATCAACCAATTCCCATGTGTGATTTTTTAGGATAGAGTCCACCTCACTTTTGATGGCTTTTTTTCACATTGGTCCTTCGGTAGACGTCACGGCTTCCGTATAAGTCCGTGGCTCATTTTCTACCAAACATGTTGGAAAATCCGGTTCATTTTCTACCATACAAGTTAGAATATTCGAATCGAATTCTACCAAGTATGTGAGAAAATCCAGTCCGAAGGATTTTTCAACTCTAGTACGTTTGCTACGTCGGGGTTCGGGTTTTTCACCGGATCCCTCGCTAGTATTTTCCATAGCTACGTCAAATGTTCATTTTGACGTGCTAGGTCCAACGTTGGACTTGCATGGAAATACGTCTTCAAAGAATGATGCATTCCTTGACTCAATTATTGTGTTTTTATGTACATCCGGATTATTCGAATCGTACACTAAAAACCGATAAGCACTACTATTTTGTGCATATCCAATAAAAATACAATCCACCGTTTTTGGACCTATTTTTATTTTCTTAGGTGTTGGTACAAGAACCTTAGCAAGACACCCCCACACTTTTAAATATTGATAGGAAGGCCGTCTGCCTTTCCACAACTCGTACGGAGTTTTATCATATTTTTTCCGGGGAACCTTATTTAAAAGGTAATTGCTTGTCAAGATTGCTTCGCCCCACATGTTTTGTGGCAGACCCGAACTTACTAGCATCGCATTCATCATATCCTTCAATGTGCGATTCTTTCGTTCGGCAACACCGTTTGATTGAGGTGAATAGGGTGCGGTACGTTCATGTACTATACCCACGTTCGCGCAAAAGTCACCAATTGGTGCTTCATACTCACCACCTCGATCACTCCTAACCGTTTTAATTCGTCGATTAAGTTGGTTTTCCACTTCATTCTTATAAAGAATGAATTTATCGATTGCTTCGTGTTTATTTTTCAACAAATAAACATAGCTATAGCGAGTGCTATCATTGATAAAAGTAATAAAATATTTATTACCGCCACGTGTTTGTATTGATTTAAAATCACAAGCGTCACTATGAATTAATTCTAGTGGTTCCGTTTTTCTTTCAACCGATTTGAAAGACGTTTGCGTTAGTTTTGCCTCAACACAAATATCACATTTGGTGCTTCACATCAATTGTGAATTTAGGAATGTGTTCCATGTTAATTAATCTACGTATAGAATTAAAATTAACATGTCCTAGTCTACCATGCCACACATTGGAAGACTCAAGCAAGTAAGCAGAAGAGATTTTATTATTATTATTATTATTATTAATAGCCGTTACATTGAGCTTAAACAGCCCGTCACATGCATATCCCTTGCCCACATACATTCCCGATTTGGACAAAACTAATTTATCCGACTCAAAAACCATGCGGAAGCCGTGCTTGTTCAACAACGAACCGGAAATCAGGTTTTTGCGTATCTCCGGAACGAACAGCACTTGGTTAAGAGTCAGCTCCTTGCCCGAAGTCATCTTCAGGACCACCTTGCCCACACCTTCCACTAGGAGTGAGCATCGGTCGGGTTCGGGTCG